GCCAAGTAGCGCGGATCGGTGGGTCACAGAATTCGTAAACTAAGCCGATTTTGGAGCCTCAACCCATGGTCTATATGGTTTTGTAGTCAGATTTGCGAGAAAAACTTCAGCTACCCGTATTTCTCGACTGAGACGTCAGTGGGAGCTGTAATTTGTATATGGCAAGGAGATTGAGCAACCCTTCATTCATATTAAGGGAATTTACGCCCAGAAACTTTGTAGTTATTAATATTTTGGTTATAATAGAAAATATTCATTTTTTGGTGACGTCACACTCACATTAGTTAGCATGCATACGTCATAAACTAGATACGTCACCTTTTCCTGGTAAGGCAAACTTTCCCGGCGTGCTTTTTTCATGGATAAACAAACACCACTGCTTTGCACATGGATGCCTTGCCCAAGCCAGGGCTACAAGAGCCGCATTGTTAATATACTGTTGTTATAATACTTAAATAAGGTACCGTAGTCCGTACCTCTGCAAATGAATTATTATTAGTTATTTTTTTATTTTATTTTAATTTATTTCTTCCGAAAGTGTACTTTCTATCACATATAATTCCACTGCCTTAGTTAGGCCTAGTCTTAATTATGCCTCATCGTCCCCCGCTACACAGTACATCAACAGCCCCTCCCCCATACAGTACATACGTTTGCTAGGTAACAACGTGGTCGCACCTTCCTTCCCAGGTGTTCATGTAACATTGACATAATTGTTAGCTAACCAGTTGTGTGTATTTCCTTGTGAAAATGAGTACCGCGGCGTACTCATTTTCACAAAGCATTTGCATCCCCTCTTGGAAAGAGGGATTCGAAATAATTAATTAATTAATCACCGTAATTTAGCTTACACTTATGAATTTAGGGAGCACTTAAAATGTGAAATGATCATTTCACTACCCGACAAACTCCGAACTTTATCTATTCATTAGGCCTGCATAATAGTTTCAAATTGCTGTACTATATACTCCAACATCACTGGCGCATGGTAACAACCAACTGACTGCAGACCATTTCCGGTCACACATTACTCTCCATAACACAGCACCCCCTAGTCCACCTCTGGATGGCGGGAAATTACACTTTCAGACTTAAAATTTGAATATAATTTTCCTTATATTTCCATTTAAATAAAATTGAACAATTTAGCCCCCGCTCTTAAATGCGCCACAGATTTCCGAACAAAGTCGAAGTCGAGATTCCTTCCACGATCTCAATGAATTATTTATCACGAGGCTTATCCTTGATATGGGTTCCCTGACGAAAACTTCACTTTTCCCCCGATGGATAAAAATTACCCTTCTATATAGCCCGGAAATGGTACTCTGTGGTGGGTCCAGGAAGTCGAAACAGAGGGGACCCAGGGAGGGTTTTGCGCAAATAAAATGTCCACCCACCTCATTCCCACAACTGTTGGGGCTGGGGTAAGAAAAATTATGATTATAGCACTTCCAGATGGCCGGAAATGGCACTCTTATTTTAAAAGTTGAATACAATTTTGTCTGTTTTCTCTATATTTTAAATTATAATTTTGAAAAAAATAGGAGGTTGGTGGCCCGTGCTGACTGGGTTCCCCTCGAGTCAATATAACACTTGACATAGCCTATAATTTTGTATCACAAATGATTAATTCCTAATGTCAAGCGAAAGATTTTTTTTACTTGAAAGATTTTTTTTTACTCAATACAGTTTTGACAACCTATAACACATTACTACAGTGTAATAATAATAATATTAATGTTGACAAAATGTTTGTCACTGGTGCTTAGAATATTTACAAAAGTGTGTGTGTGTGTTTGTGTGGGGGGGGGGGAGGAGAGAGTAGAGAAAGTGGGTGGGCCAATGGCCCCAGAGGTAATTCATATTTAGCAGATGATCTGCAGAGGTAATTCATTTTTAGCAGTAAACATAATACAGAAATCAGCAAAAAAATTACAACAAACCTCATAAATGAAAATATTAAGTGATCATTTACATCAGTCTTTTAATTCTCAATGTTTTATGAAAATATGCTTGATGTTAATTGTATTCTGGGTTACACCTGGTTACACTCAATCATAAGAGATTTGAGGAAAATTCTTTTTCATAATGACATTATTAATCCTTTCTTTAATCTACCATGTTCATGCTTTTTCCAGGTGCCAGTGGCAAACACGTTTAACAGGCACTATATAAATGTATACATTTATTATTACTCTGTATTTTAATTTATTTGCTAGATACAATTGCATCAGCTGCCCTCATTTTACAATCTCTGTATGAACTTTTAAAAAAGCCATGCAAATACTACTTGGGAATCTGTTTCTATATTTATGATTGTACTCTGTCACTTGTATTTGCTCTGAAAGACCGAAAAATATGTTAAATGGCACTTCAATCAATCTATTGTATATCTAATTTTGACAATAATATTTTGTTTTGAAATAAAATTTATTCAATGTGGTATTTGTGAAGTTTGTGCTCAACACGTCATACTAATACAATATAACGCATGAAATACGATAATAAATAATTTGAAAATCCACGAAGCTCTCTATTAAAAACGTTATCAGCATAGCAAACAGACATATTCATAAAAAATAAAAAACGATGGCATTATTTTTGCATATAGTTTTTCTTAAAATGAGTGTACAGTATTGAAAAATCAATTTTAGAAAATTTGGAATACGAATCTGCGATCAAGAATATTTGAAATTTTTTAAATTGGGAGAAACTCACTAAAAATGTTTTTCAATAAAATGGTGTCAGTTTTTAGGTTGCTTGCATTAATTTGACTATGAGAAAGCTAATGTAATTCACAAGTTACATTATCAGTGCACTTAGCCAGAATGTTGCATAGGATTACATTATGGAGCACACTAAAAGTAGCAATAGTATGTTTATAACTGAAATACCATTTACTTCCTCAAATTTACTTGATTTAAAAATAACCAGATAGCCAGATTATAAACAATCAAATTTTTGACATTCTGAAAATTGGATTGCCTCATTTTTCATAAAATTACCCATACCGTAAATGCTAGAATAATAGCATTGAAAGATTGAAATTCCACATCGAATTACAGACAATCGGCCCCAGGAGAATCAGGCCCATTTTCAGGACAATATATCCAATTTGAACGTGGGCCTGATTGTCCTGAAATGTTACCCATAATCCTTCATCTTGTCCTGTTTTTTTTTTAAAATTCCATACTATATCTTGCACTCTAAGGCAAATTATTAGGTGCTACGGAAATTGTTCACTTACTACGGAAATCTGAAGACATAGTTACGGAAATGCATTTTACGAACTTGAGATGTCTGGGAACAGTCTAGAGCCCTGGCTTAGATTTTACTACAACTGTCACATGTTCTTTTCAGGCACATTGATCTCAAATTGATGACACAAGCAGGCTATGCTGCTGACTTGTGATTACACCATATGCCTGCCATCTTGCAGACTTGTGATGACATCACACTCCTGACATGTGCAGACTTGTGATGACATCACACTCCTGCCATGTGACATCACATGAGGCAACAAAGGCCACACATCATGATTGAGGGCTTTATCCATTAAGACATAAAAGAATATTTTAAACAAAGAAATATGTACCATATATACATAACCAGCCTGCAAAACAAATTACAATAAGTACATTTTATACAAACGTACTACACATACATACATTTTCGATCTGTCAACATACATGCACAGACACCAAATAATGTTCACCTATTATTAAACAAACATGATGACATAAAAATGTCCAGACAGCAATTCGATACAGTACCTTCACCAACCAATAGTGAATTGATATTTTTTTGCAAATTTTATAATTATTTTCTATTTCAATCTCAAACTACTTTTCAAAAAGACATAACCTTAAAACTTTGTACATGTCTCTAAACTAAAATGTAATAAAATAAAAATATAACCGAACCCACAGAGTTTACACTAATTTTTTCGAAAATGATTATCGTGTCTACTGTATGCTGTCACCAATAAACAAGCTAGGCCTATATAACATAACTTCCAATCATGTTATGAAAAGTCACCCTGCCATCAATCACGTTATGAATATGTGGCAAGGACAAACAGTCCGTCACTTGTCAATTTTCAATAAGCAAGTCTGAATTCTTTTTTTTTTTTAAATGAAGTAAGTATTAACAATTGTTTGGAATATATATGTGCAGATACTACAATGGAGTAACAGACATTAGCATTTACACTTTACCAATCTTTCGGAAAAAAGCTTACACTGAACACATCTAAATAAACAACCTAACAAGCCAGATTCATAAAATTTGGCACAAATTATAGTAATATAATTTTGTAATACTATGTATACGCAAAATTTTGGTTGAATCCAGCAATTTCTTCACTACTTATTCTAAAGATCGCTGGCTGCTACGCCTTTCAGAAACTATAGGCTTTACTTAAATCAAGCTACAGTTTGAGATGACCAGTTACAGGAGAATCGTGGCATCTAGTTGACTCTGAAAATTCACAGGGGTTTAAAGTCTCCCACAAATCGGGGGACTAAAAACCATGACGGCCTCCCGCACTCACACAACCCGACAAGAATCTCCCGGAAATAGTCTAGCATGATCCTTCCTAAAGGGCTAATTGTAGTAAATATGTTGAATTTTTTAACTTTCATTATTACCTTTATCACCATTCACAGGCAAATGATTGGTTGCTCCTGTATCTACCGCATATGTTTATTGTTTACAATTTTATACATTGCTTATTAGTTATATCATATAAAGGGTAAATAATACTTTTTTGTTTATCAGAAATATACAAACCTACAACAAAAACCTGTATAATCCAGTTATAACTAACTAACATAATAATCATAAAGTAAAATACGAAACTGAGCGAATCCCCACCATTTAAAAAAATATACGCAACTCAATAACCAATATTATTTTGACAATATTTAAAAATAATTGTTAGAGTTAATACAAAAAATTTTAATATATTCATATGTAAACAATGAAAGTGAATTTTGTTTTGAGAACCATTATTGTTTACATTAAACAGTATAGAGCTAATCTAATTATCAGTAAAGAGAAATGTATTTGGTTTATTTGTTGGTTTTACCAAGAAAAAAAAAAACCCTGCGATATACTGTACTAATCCTATTAATATTTTATTTAAGTTGAGTAAATATGAAGCTGATTGCAATTTATAAACCTGATTGTTGCCAAAGATAACCAGCACTGAAAGAGCTGATTAAAACTTCATTCCAAGAAAACTATAATAGAAGATTTCAATCTATTATTTGTAACAAAATAGGAATATAAAAAGGCTCTGCTTATCAACAATCTAATCATCTCATGATTAGTTTGTTCTCGTTGCTGGAATTCATTTATTTTTCACTTCTGCACGAACATGCTTTGTTACCCGTCCACAGAACATTCCAAACATAAACAGACAACCAAAAAATATTATAAACACTGAGAAAAAATAGTTTCTTGATGGAGATGAGTGTATTGACATCACTAGCTCTTGCACAGTTTCTGGAGGAGCATTCTGTAAGATAGTAATAATACAAATACATTAAACCACCAGATGCACTGATTATGTGTAAACAACACATAACGAACGATACCTTGTTACTCTGAACAATATTCCCTATCATCATTTAGAGTAACTTTAGTTCTGTGTTAACTAAATTAAAGGTGAGATCTGCAGGTTGTAAGAACTTATCGTTTATTTTTCTTGCGCAATCTTTTAAGAAGTATCTCAAAATTCATCATGCTTTCATTATTAATAACTTAGAATAAATATAAATCAATCATTTTTTATTTCAAAAATTAATAATCTACATACAAAATATACAAGTGTATCTTGAACTACAGTATACTGTCATACCTAGAGGAACATGATTACAGTACATGATACATTGAGGTATGTGGGACATATTGTGAAGCAGATTATTACATTTCAGGGCATTTACACAAATACAAGTTTAAATTACCATAAAGATCATATACTGGATTTATAACACAATTCAATTGGAATAATTCTTTTGCATACTTCAGCTATGTAACTTCTCTTTACAGAACTTGAACCCAGGACACTGAGATTGGGAGGCAACCACTTTTACTACCAATATACAATTTTTACATATTTTCGTATTACAGTATATTGATTTTTTGCAGCTTTCAACAGTTCTGTTTGATGTTGCACAGATAACTAGAGTATTTGATATTACATTATACCATTGAGAAGCACAACAAAACATAAAAGATAAGTAATAAAATTTCATTATTGATTCAGTGCTATGTTTATATATGGTCACTAACATTCATAGCAACAATAAATGAATCAGAAACATAATCACCACATCCTAACAAAAACATCCAACCAAAAATAAGCTCCCAGCAGGAGCATGTGTTATGCCCTATACAGCCTTACTGTATTATTTTAACTAATAAAGTATTCTCATGGGATTCGGTTATCAGGAAATGTGTGGTGAATTTTTTTATTCCTTTCGTACAGTAATAACGTACTTAAGATGACACATGACCCATCATGCACCTCCACCGGATTTACCCTTTCCGCCATCTTTAACTGCCAGATCATAACATAGTGTCTTTGTTCCGAGGAAGCATAGACACAAAAACCACATTAAAATTCCGATAACAAACTGGAAATAACTTTGAAATAGCTTAGAATATCGGAGATGGTATCCAGCAGTCAATGCAAACCCTTCGCAAGAATTTGCATAGTTTGCCATTGCTGCGCGTACACAGGCGCAGTAACTAAAAATTTAAATAGAAGGCAGCTGTCACTTACCTCGGCTGCATATTCCCACATCTCTTTCCTCTCCATTAGCATCCGACGACATTCCTGCCGCAATCTGACTGTTTTGTCTTCAAGAGCTTCTAATAAACATGACATATCTACTCAAAAGAAAAATAGCAAATATTACAGCCACAAAAAAATTGTTACACGTGTAAGTCAGGCAATAACTGTTTAAGATCAGCTGGTTATTAACTGGCAATTTTTGAAAAACTAATAATGTCTGAAAAATTATGCATTGGCCAATAAAAATAGGCAATTTGACCAAATGATCTATGTGATTATTAACTGCTAATCACACAGCAAATGTACACAAATAATAGTTGTGTATAAATTATTAATTTAAGTAATAGTAGAAAAGTCCAAAAAGTTGAGAATTTTGTAAGCAAAGCATCAATGAAACTTTGCAAGAAAGTGTTTTGATACGAGTAGACTCCAAGATCTTCATGTACCGCTATAGTGAAAAGCAACCCCACCTATACAGTAGCGCCACCACTGGAAATAATATTTATTTTTGTGGCCTTATGGATATGAGCTATGGTATGATTACATTATTAAGGAAAAAGACTTACGTCGACCTTCTCCTTGAGGTATATCTACACAATAATGTTTAATATCTAGAGCACAAGCTTTGTGTAAAAGAGGATCAACTTGGACGTCTGCATGTGCCTCAGCCAGTAATCGAATCACTTGCTACAAAAATACATCAATAAATGTTAAAGTTATTACTGGTTTATTATTTAAATATAAACATATTATAGTTATAATTTGATCAATTTTTTCTCCCCTTAAGTGTGTCTGTGCTAGCTACTCTTGTCTGTCCAACACAGGATTCTCTGGACCAGTACATGGGGTGGCTCCAAAAATTTGTCTACAGGGGTCTGACAAGGGATTCTGGACCAAGAGGGCTGACAAAAGCCTTGGTCATGTCCCAAAATAAAATCCTTGGTGGGTTTCAAGGGGAAAGTCTATATGGCTTAGTATGGCACAAAATTGTGCTTTAAACAACAATGTTAGAGATTGGCAATCAAAATATTATTATTTGGGTAGGAAAATTAATATTGTGCTAGGGTACCTAAAGGCATATATCCATTTTTAGTTTTAAGCTTCTTTTGGTATACAATACTCTCACTCGCCCAAACTCATCTACTCTAACATACTGTAATTTGGGAAGCTAACTACCAGTCCAATTTAAACAACCATAATAAACTAATTCAACATTCTGCATGAATCATCATCTTCTACCTCTCTCTGAAACTCTTTGTAAAAAAGAAAATACTGGAATTAAATTATCCTTTGTAGAAAAACTTATATTTTAGCCCATAAGATAATATTCAAAAAGCAACTCTAAGACCGCCATCAATCAGCACAGATTAGCTATCACAAATCATTTACCAACTTTTAAAAAGAGTACTGAAGATAAAAAAGTCATATTCCTCTACATACCATTTTACAATCTTTATCTGATATCTTGTTATGCTGCAGCTTCACCTTCAGGCATTCCTCGATGCGACCACTACCAGGATCATCAAACTCTTCGATGCAGAGGGTCTTGGCAGTATTTCGACAAACACGAGCCAACAAGGGATCCATTCTAAAGTCCATTGCAGCATCTTTCATGATGCTGGTTATCCTATCATCACAACTTCTTGATAATTTCTAGAACAGAGAATTAAGTACTGTACAGCACAGGATCAGAGATGAAATAGTTGCAAGAAGCAAACCTTTGCTTTGCATATTTTTTGTTAATACTGTAATCAGTACCTCGAACACCTCCATCACCATTGACACAATTTTCAGCAGCACTACCAGCAACATCACCACCATTTCAGCCATTATTACTGCCTTACCTTTTCAGTGTGTTTGGCTTTTAGGCATTCAATTACTTTGCCTTCCAATTCCACTTGTTTGTCTTCAGTGTCAGTGATCTCTTTGCAAAACTTAATAATATCCTTCGAGCAAGCCTTTTGAAGCATTGGATTTAACCTGTAGTCATGCATCTTGGAGATCTGTCTCTTGGTCAACACTTCCTTGCATCTGATCAAACACATAATTATTAGCATATAAAAATATATTTTTATTTTGGTTTATAACATATTATTGCTAGTTGGTTTAGTAGCATGCATTTTTTGGAATTTTATACATACAATAATGGTAATGTCAATTCCAATGCCTTAAACACCACTCAACTCAATTAAAAGATAAGATAAGCTTTTTTGGTCTATTCACATATAAAAATATAAACAGAAATGTTCCTTGAATCTGGCATAAACATGTCAACAAACATCAAATTAAAAAAAGCAAAGAAATTGTAACGCAACTACTTATTACATAATTTAAATATTATATATAAAATATTTTAAATATTCAATATTAATTAAAATTGTAGTTATTATTACGAAAAATTTTATTTACAACAAATACCCGTATCTCGTGGTAGTACTGCGCTTTTGTTTCATTGTGTAAATGCGAAATAGGATTGTTGGACCTCTTGCCATTCTATAATCTTTGATGGAAGTCTTGTCATTATCACTTACTTTGAATCCATGGCAGGGTCATTTTTCCTCTGCTTCAAACACTTAAAGATCTCCTGCGGAGACGAACCCTGGCAAAATTGCTGAAAAAAATGTGGAAAAAGACATGTAACTATAATTACTTCTGTCTCTTATACACATCGCCCTTCGCANGGAAACTGATATACAGAACCAATGTCCAATGATGTCTGTCCTTATGAAATATATAATTTAATTATATAATAATAATCAAATTTATATATAATCACTAGCTACAAGCCTTTCTATCTTCAATCCTACTATGGATGTTCTGGAAATCAGTAGGCCGTGGAGCGCTAATTAATTTTTCGTATGCAGTTCAGAGCGCTGTTTTCAGGACGAAATTAAGTGATCTTGTTAATCTAAATCATAAGATTATGATTTTTATTCAGAAATGCGCGATATATTTCAGCTGGCCAAAATGCGTTAAAAGTGGAGATTTTCGACCCAAAATTGGAGTGCGGAGTTTTGCTTAAATAAACGGAGTAACACCGCCGAAATCAGAGTGGTTGGCATGTCTGATCTTGACTACAAGTTTTAAATAAAATTTTCAACCAAAAACTAACAGCAGTCTATTTTAAACAATTGTATTTTCTTCCTGGAATTTCCATCTTCTCATGGGGGCAGACTCAGACAAAAGCAAATACAGAAAATATAACAGTATCACAGTACTGAAAATATTGAAAGAATTATACAATGTTACCATTACACTTTTAGGGATAACATTTTTAATTTCATTAAGAATGCCTATTGTTTTAGAGATTTTATTGGAAAAGTTATCACAATGGCTATTCCAGTTTAGATGTTGATTTAGAATTATAACAAGAAAGTTGAAGTCTTGGGTCTGCTGTATTTTAATCCCATCTATTTCTTTGTTTAAAACATTTAGGTTTAGATGGCGTTGAGTAGTATGGAAAATCATAAACTTCGATTTATTTAAGTTTAAAGATAATTTATTTAATTTGAGCTATTCACTAATTTTTATCAGTTCAATGTTTATGATATCATTGAATGTGTGTGCCATGGACATTTACTTATGTAATAAAAGGATTATATAGTACGAACAATTTCCACTGGCATCAATTCATGCAAGCAAACAATAAACTGCGGTGGTTGTATGACGATAACAACATTATCATAATTCCTGTACACAAAGTCAATGTTACTATAGTTTGTAAAACACATGTGCCATTTTACTTTTTGGAAAACATAAATATAATAAATATAATGAAAAAAAATAAATTGTCAGAAAAAACACGCCAAAGCATATTGTGCAATTCTAAACAGCGAGAGCACTAGAGATCAAGTCACAATATCACACAAGAAAAAAGAAAAACCTATCATTATTCAAAGGAGAGAAAATGAAAAAAATAATACAGCAATTAGGTACAAAATCACGTACCACTAAACAATGTTTACATCAGTAGTGGTAAAAGTGTCACATTTAGATAGAAAACGACCGACCAACACCCATGCAAAGCAGGGCAGTGTAATTTTTTTCTATCAACAGTACTGCTTATAGCCTTATTGTATTTAAATATAGTTTAGGCCTCCATATATTCAGTGATTGCACAACTTTCCATTTATATAGAGGTCACCATTTTTGAATACTGGGCGCTAGTTTTCTTCATATGCCTTACTCATGATCTCCTTCAAGCTTTGTTTCTTCTTTATGTCCTGCCAGGGAAGGTCCTCTGTTATGTATACTTCAGTGTTATTTCGTAGTTTCTTGTATTTAGATATTAAGACATCTTGTTTTTGCGGACGATACAAAAATGATAATATGCCTTGGCTTAGCCACAGACTTCTTACCTTTATGGTAAATATTTTTAATGTTTATGTCTGGAAGTTTTAACTGCTGCTTGATAAAATTGCAAATAATGCTTTTTGTATCCTCCACTTCACTTTCTTTGAAACCACAAAAACGTAGATTAAAATTCTGATTGTACCTTTCAAATCTAAGAATGTCATTCTGTGCCTGTGACAACGCCTGGTCATTTTCATCATTTTTTGAGGACAGCTTGCCAATATCGTCTGTAAGTTTCTGTGTCGTTTTCCTCTTTTCTGTGCCCCTTTCCATTGCAAATTCAGTTGATTTTATTGTGCTCAGCTTGTCATTTTCTAAAGTAGTGATTCTAGATTCAACATTAGATAGCTTGCCAACATAGAAGTCTGATTTTCCAAAAGCTTGCTGTTCATTGCATGAATTATGTCGGGCAAATCAGGTGTATCAGACACTGAGTTATGTTTCACAGGTGGAGCCAGTTTAGGCGTGGTGTTCTCTGATTGGGTAGTTTCAAGCTTGTCAGTATTGTCCGGCTTGGCTTTCCTAGGCACCATTTTTTTAATCGATAATTAAGTTACCAAAATAATCTGGTATACCTTTTTGAATAAACAGAGACGATAATGCTGGCAGTTTGTAGAAGAAAACTGTGTTTCATAGGCGTTCTTGCGGAGCGATTGTGACACACGTCTTACCACCTCGCTGTCATGATAACGCCATTAAATAGGTCTGTGCTAACATACCAAATACAAAATTTTACCTTCAAAATTATCATTATCGGTGTCTCGCCTTAGTTTCCTATTGTGGGTGACTGAAATTATTATACTATATGCAAAGTAAAAGAACGGAAGAGACTTACTTTAATCATACGTTTGCAAACATGCATGAAAGTATGATCAAATTCTGGGTTGATGGCTTCTTTCTTCTGCTTGTTAAAGATCTTCATATGACATTGGTTGCCAAGTTTGCTCTGATGTGCACGTAAGCATTCAATAATACGTGCATTTCCTTCTTTGACACCCGAACAATGCGTGTGAATATCCTCGGCACAAGCCTTATTCAGTTCAGGATCAAGTTTGATATTCTCAGCCTGGAATGTAAACAAATTAAAAAAACAATTCTCTTCATCACTTTCAGGCCGATAATAAACTATATAATATATTGTGTGGAAATACCACACTACTGGTTTACATTGGAATGGCATCTTGAATGTGTCTCTAAAAAACACAGAATGAAAGTAATCTTGAATGCAAACTGCTATTAAGGTAGTACTATTTTGAACAATTTATTTTATTTTCTCCTCCATCTGGTTGATTTTGGCAAAATTATTATTATTATTAAAATTATTTGCTAAATTCCGCCCTCCTCCGATGATCTTAAAAAAAATAAGTACAAGAAACAAGGAATGAAAAAAGTCTTGCCGTACACGGAATCGCAATTGATTTCTTTTCTCTCTCTTTCACTCTCTCTCTCTCTCTCTCTTTATTATAGATGCAATTGAAATATTAATGCCTTGCCTTGAATCTTGAGTGTGTATTCATAATGGAAAAGTCTAATACATAATAAATGTTTACTCTGAATATTTATTGTATATTTTGAATGTGAATCTTTGTTAATGTATATTACTGAATATTAATGTAATTTTATAAAATAAAAATTGTAATATTTTCTTCTTAAAACATATTTTTTTTCATTGTAAACAGTGAGCAATTTCATTTAGCTAAGGCTATAATTCACTTTCATGTTTTCTTCTTTTTCCTTTATATGTTAAATAAAATAAACATAAATGAAATGAAAATACCTTCTGAAGTTCTTCGAATTTCAGTTGTTTCCTGCAATCATCACTGACTCTATGTGTCCTCTCAACTAGTGTATCATCTCTCACAAGTTGGCTGAGACATGATATCACTGCTGACCTGATTAAAAAAAAATGTAGTGTTTCTTATCAACCTCCGAAAAAAAAGAGCTTTGGTTCCCCATCACCCCACCCCATTTTTGATACTCCTATATATGCTACATCTGACAAAGGATGATGATACTGATGATTAAAATAGTAATAAAATATGAATAATACTCAATGCAATTCATCATTGAACTACAAAAAAAGTCCTAAAGAATTGCATTTCCTGTGAGTGACAATCTGAACGGATCATCATTAAAAAAAGAACGATCCATTACGCGTGGCAACGACCATCGGGTGGAGTGAATGCCTGGCTGAATAGACAAATCCTTAAGGTAGATGTAAATTTGACAGTGTTGTGACTCCTTTTCATTTATACAGTTTTTTAAAAAAGTTTATATTATATCTTTCAATAAAAAATTTTTTATTATATATATAAAAATATAATATGGTATTGAGTATAAAATTCTTTTAGAAGGAATACTTGCTTTTCTTTACCGCCTTTACAATAAGTAGTGACATCAGCACGACAAGCCTCCTTAAACTTGAAGCTAAACCTGTAGTCTTTCAATTCCAGCTGTTGGTAAATAAAGCATAAAAAAAAAAAATCAATATTATCTGCTGCTTCTGAATACATCAACTAAGCTTAAACAGGGTTAATGAATATTCTAAAATTCACTTCAAAATAACTAATCAATATTGAAACAAGCACAATGTGTGGGTTGATGCATGCATACTTACGATGAATTATTCTGGGAAAAAAATAACCAATAAAATTTGAAATCTTGGGAAAAAAAGCAGCAAAATAAAAAACACAAAATTGTGAAATCTTAAAAAAAAATAAAATAAATTAGAATATTTGTTTTACTTACAAGAATTTTTCCATGATCAGAATTTTATTTGTTAAGAATGCTTATTATATATAAATATAAAAAGTAAAACACAAATGAAAAACATGTATATTTTGTATATCTTTCTCAAAATTATGTTTCCATGTATTCTAAACTTCAAAAACAAACAAATTAAAGCTTCTATCTGAATATACCATATTAAACGCAATTCATGATTTCTCAACCATGTTGTAAAAATGGAGGTGTAGAAAGTATAAAGAACAAATTACAGCAGTCCATCCCTGGGGTAGCAAAGAGCTGAGAATTTAAACAATTTTTGTTACGATGTATGTGCTACTAAAAAAATCACCGATGCTATCATATTTTTTAAGACAATAATTCATTTCTTACTATGATAAACAGGTAAAAAAATGGTTTTAATCTTAATTCACAAATAGATAAATATTAATAAAAATTATTAAATTTGTTTTTGCATTAATCAAGGATTAAGAAATATTTTCATCTATGGTACTTACCAACTGGAAGTGTTCAACGCCAGCAGCACATTTCTCATCCATTTCATTGTCATTCTTGTGCTCAATCAAACACTGCATCAGAATGCCTTCATTCAACTGCTGCTTCAAATGGTCCTGATAAATTGTTTGCAAAAATGAAAAACAAACATTTTGTCAATCATCTACATCCCTGATCAAGGGCTTAGTCAGTGAGCAGACTTTTGGACGGCTAACAATTATTTAAGACGGCCACTTTTACTGTGATGGCTTGATCTACCCAGCTCGGCCTAGCCTAGTTGGGCCTGGTCTACCTTTATATACCTTCTTCGAATCTATAGAATGTTGCATTAAACTAAAGCTAAATCACATTTACATTTGATAAAGCAACCTACATTGATTGAATTTATGTTGATTTCATACCAACATTCGGTGGGGATTCCCAAAAAGGTAAGGCTAAACCATTGTTTCGCCGGTGAAAATTGCACTTACAACACACGTATGTCATGTTAAAAACATATTTATACCCCGCTGGAAAATAGATGGTTCTAAGTCGTCCACAATGCATGCACATGTCTCTGCAAAAGATACAGTACTTGAGATTCGGTTCCCCAAGATATCACCGTAAAGCAGATTTGTTGTTAACATCACAAGTTAAAATTTAACAGTCAATAAAATACAGTAGGCCTAGGCCTATACTATACATTTCTCAATTTGGAGGACCTAGTGTAGAGTAGAATTTACACTACTAGGGCGGGACACATGTACATACTGCATAGCCTAGGAAAATAATGCAAGTAAACAACCATACAGTAGCAGTCTATAGAATGGAAATTATTCAACATTATTCCTTTGAAGACAAAATTCAAACACTTAAACACCTTTAAATGCACCCTAAATGTCATAATTTTCTATCTTTTCTTGCGTGCTGAGGGGACACCCCTCCTAAATCCACCCCTGCTCGGTTCATCGCCGCTCGTCTGTCGCTACGTGACAAGTTCTTCATCACCCTATTTTTTTTTTCTGGCTAAACTTCTATCCTTGATTCTTAACACTAGTCTAAAAAGTGAACACCAAATTGCAAAATTTTGTCTAATTTCCCAAATGGCTATTAAATTCAATTGAAAATGAAGTGCAACCATTTTGGCATCTTAATGTCAGAGAGTGTTGGTCTAGGAAAGTTTTTTTTTTACTATGTTTCCTGGGAAGTTTTGCCACCACAGCAATTTTATTGATTAAAATCTTGCAATTGGAGCACTATAATCAAACACTATAAAGAGCTTAAGGAAAAGCCACATATTTTATCTACAGTATGTCAAAGCTTGAGGCAGTAGTAGAACTTCAATTAATGTCGTAAGTTTACTGCAAATGATTCCTGATCAAGTTTTTCAAAATACAGAAAAATATTTAGCATAAGAAGAGCTAAAAGAAGGAATAGAAAATGATAACATCTATCCTTATCTCTACCCCCATTTTGATCTACTAAAAATGGTCACAACCCTTTAACTACTTTTATCAAATACAAGTAGACACCTCAGCATCATAAAATCTGTGTCATCGAATTTGGAAAGAAAATAAATTATCAGCAAACTCACATGCCTTTGAATTAAACATGAAGCAGCACATTCCCACAAAACAAAGACAAATTCACCGCTACACTCTGAGGCTTAACTAATAGGTCTGCCAGGCTTATTTGTAATGCTTAGCAAATGGGAGGCGACCATGTCAACTGAGCATTCAGACATAGTATGGGAGACAGCTTGAGTTGCCTACAGCACCCTCAAAGACCTGCCAAACAAACCTTGATTATTTTTAACTTCTTTTTATATAAATTCTTATACAATATTACATATTTTTTTTGTCTTGTTTAGCCCCTGATGGTACTACAATACTGTATGTGTTTAGGTTTCACAGCACATACTCAAAACTTTTCATACTCATGGTGATGGCATGGGACTTCATCAAATGTTCTTACCTTGCAGAACTTGGACAGCATAGGTGAGCAGGCTTTCATTAGGATCTTGTTCATCTTAATATCTTCTGATTCCTCTCCAGTGAATCTTCCAACAAGTTTTTTACATTTGTCCTCTAATTTGTCCATGTTATCTTGAAGGCAAGCCATCTCCTGTCACAGACAGAATATAACACATTTACAAGAAAAGGCAAGAAAATCAATTATAGTTAAACCTAGACATCAGGTCCATAATATAGTCATGTCCACGACGAGTTGAGGAAAAGGAATGCTCCCATTATATGGGCCAGACCTCGATATCCATTAATTTATTGATATTAAACAAACAGAATAGAATAGACAAATACTGGCTCATCAGAACCACAATGGAAAATGACACAGCTATGTCCGGACTACTTTTTCTCATACAGTACTTAAATAAAATATATACCATTTCCTATAATATAAATTTCTTATTAAATTTTTTGCATCATAATATCTCTTGAATGTAAATAAATATCCTTCATTTGTGTATCTTTTGTATTGCACTGTAGGGACACCAACTTTGCTAGCCATATGCTTTGCCTAACCAACATATTATATAAACACTACTGTAATGCAGCATTTATTGAGTTTACTCTGCATACAGCAGTCAGACAAGCAGGTTGTGAATTTTTGTTTTGGAATTTGTATGAGTTTGGTACAATGAGCTATTGTATCAATCGAGCAATTGTGGATTTGATTACCTCTCCTTTTTCATTTTTCTCAGAACAAAATGCTCCAAGGTCTCTTCTACATTCTCGTTCAATGTTAGGATTCAGATGAACGCTGACAGCTCGTTGACGCAAGGCTCGGTGCATCTGAAGTCTGCATTCATCAGAGAGCTACAATTTTAAACAAAGATTTTGTACAATATTAAAAATCCTTTTTTAGTCAATCATACTGTCAACATTTTAATAGTATCTTTTTTGTCCTCTAACAAGCACTATATTTGCTAAAGTGCCTGCATTTTTGTTTGCTGCTCATGCAAAAATGTCAAACAATACTGTTTACTACTGAATGACACAGAAAGAAACATAGTTTGTAGGCGCTATATACATTGACACCTAGCTTTTTGACACGGTCTGCACAAATTGTTTGCTCATTCATCGTAGACAAAAGTAATAGATGACACTTGTAGAGCACTTGTTTTGGTGGAAGAATTAAGGAATTCCATGGATCAGTGGGCCAATGAAGCAAGGAAATTTTGAATAACACTTTGCGGATGCAAAAAATGTGGGCCTAAGCATAGGATGAAACCTACTAGCCCTAGGATGACTATGGCAGCCTACATGAAAACAGTCTTTTGTGTAGGACTAATTATTTAGTATAATATGTATAATGTAAGTAGGTCTAGACTTATACGTAACACAAGAGTGTTACTGTTTGTGATTCGCCAATCCCCATGAGGCTTGGGTAGTTACAGCACGCTGACCCATTTGGCAGACATAACAATTAATATATGCCTCGGCCTAGCCTATACCGTTCTGAGCCGTTGGGCAGAAACATTGAATATGACATTTTACATGAACATACGCTGACACGTTGGGCAGAGAGTAGTTCAATTTATCACTCTGTATGTTGATTCCTAAAGATCAACTAATAAAGTTCAAAATATAGAATCAATAATGGCTTTTTCGGAGTTTGTTTCACGCTATCTTATATCAAACTTATCAGTGAACCCCATGGTATGTTGTGCAGGCGTTTTATATATTATTACCTTTTGATGCAGTACTTAGCCTATGCTTAGTATAAGCATACACAAGTCAATAATAATATCACAATTATTATAATGAATATGGCTATCTGTAATTTATTGTTACATGGTAGCGAAGATCTTGACTCCATTTAAATTCAAATTTCAGTAATGGGGGTAGAACCAGTCGTGATGGATAATAGCCTAAGAATGAACTGGACTTGTTAAAAGAAAAGCTAAACAGACTGGCGGTGAAGAAACTATTGGTGATTCCTTCAGTTACTAACATTTATGAGATAGAATTATTCTCAAACTTCAACTTACATGTAAGTCTCATTTAATCTATAAATTACCCCTTGAGTTTACTAGTCTTCAGTAAACAGTAAAAAAGACTATTATCCCAAAAGTTCATGCTTTAGAGTTTCTTTTGTTATGGATAGATGTCTTGAATAAAGTACATTAATAAATTTCTATAAATGTAATTGTTATATAAAAATGTATTGTCTGCCACAAAAATTATTGAGAAAAACCTAAAAAATTAAATAAAAACTTTGAATAGCTCACTTAAAAAGATCAAATTCGAATACAAAGACTCTTAAATTGATTACAAGCCAGATGTGTATAAGAGACAGCTACTGTAATGCAGCATTTATTGAGTTTACTCTGCATACAGCAGTCAGACAAGCAGGTTGTGAATTTTTGTTTTGGAATTTGTATGAGTTTGGTACAATGAGCTATTGTATCAATCGAGCAATTGTGGATTTGATTACCTCTCCTTTTTCATTTTTCTCAGAACAAAATGCTCCAAGGTCTCTTCTACATTCTCGTTCAATGTTAGGATTCAGATGAACGCTGACAGCTCGTTGACGCAAGGCTCGGTGCATCTGAAGTCTGCATTCATCAGAGAGCTACAATTTCAAACAAATATTTTGTACAATAATAAAAATCTTATTTTTTAGTCAATCATACTGTCAACATTTTAATAGTATCTTTTTTGTCCTCTAACAAGCACTATATTTTCTAAAGTGCCTGCATTTTTGTTTGCTGCTCATGCAAAAAGGTCAAACAATCCTGTTCACTACTGAATGACACAGAAAGAAACATAGTTTGTAGGCGCTTATATTACATTTGTAAAATCGGGAATTCGTAAAATCGGGGTTCGTAAATGAGGGGTTCTACTGTATAAGCATACACAAGTCAATAATAATATCACAATTATTATAATGAATATGGCTATCTGTAATTTATTGTTACATGTAGTGAAGATCTTGACTCCATTTAAATTCAAATTTCAGTAATGGGGGTAGAACCAGTCGTGATGGATAATAGCCTAAGAATGAACTGGACTTGTTAAAAGAAAAGCTAAACAAACTGGCGGTGAAGAAACTATTGGTGATTCCTTCAGTTACTAACATTTATGAGATAGAATTATTCTCAAACTTCAACTTACATGTAAGTCTCATTTAATCTATAAATTATCCCTTGAGTTTACTAGTCTGCAGTAAACAGTAAAAAAGACTATTATTCCAAAAATTCATGCTTTAGAGTTTCTTTTGTTATGGATAGATGTCTTGAATAAAGAATATTAATAAATTTCTATAATTGTATGTTATATAAAAATGTATTGTCTGCCACAACAATTATTGAAAAAAACCCAAAAAATTAAATAAAAACTTTGAATAGCTCACTTAAAAAGATCAAATTCGAATACAAAGACTCTTAAATTGATTACAAGCCAACATACGCGTCTATGAAAAAGAATACATAAAAAGCAATAAAAGTCATATTAAGAACATTTATAGAAGTAAATGGTGGCCAAAAAACTTACAGTAGCGCCTTCTACTTCACCGGGATGGAGCCTTTCATGTAAACAATTGAAAATCATACCATCTTTGGTATTATCATCATCATCATCAACATCATTATCTTTATTGTTTGGATCGTCATCCTCATCCATATAACAAAATTCTATCGCATTTTTTTTACATGCTTTATACAGCTGAGGATCAAGCCTAGAGTAAAAAAAACAAAAAAAAACAATCATTGTTGCAAATTAACAAGAATTACTTAAAAAGATGTTGCTAAGAAGAAGACCGATAATGAATATTACTAGTGTCGTTGATTGCAAACAGCAGCCAATTACACTCTACAGCACTTTTATTTAGAATCAATATCAAAATATAACTAAATACATTACCACGGTTATTAATTATTTTAGGAATATGTAAACATAAATTGATTTAAACAAATATTAATCATGAAAACATACTTGAAATCTCTGGTGATGAAATACTGTAGTGTCAGTAGACGAGTCTCGCAGGCTTTTGTCATCTCAGGAGCGTTAATGTTATCCATTAAGCACGTTAGAACCCTGTGGTTAAGATCATTTTTAACAATAAAATTATTAATATTATAATACCACTAATGATCATAACATTTTAATAACAACAGACTACAACAGTTGCAATATGTCATATAACACATTAACAAGCAGCCTCTGTTACTTTTGTTTCGACATTTGGGATATTTTAGTTTCAAAGGTCAATACATTATGGGCCATGGGAAACTTTATTCGCATAGTATGTTGAGAAAGCTCCAAAACCCACTAAAATATTAAAAATTAAATCAATTCCTTCACATACCGAACATGTTATCTGATTAGTGGCACCCCTTAATTACCGCTCGCACACATGACTCACCCAAGTTATATTGAAACAAAAACAAACTTATAAAGACATACTACAGCCGATACTAAATTTCCTCTGAAAAATTACCGAGCATTTCCTTTTGAAACTCCCTTGCACAAGGCATCTTCAACAGGCCTGCAGTCTCTTTCAAGAGCAGTGTCTGTACGCACATCCTCGCCAGCTTCTGTTTCTTTAACTAGTTCCTTGAGCTATCAATAAGACAGTCAGACAATTAAAGATCAACCTTATACAATAATTAAGCAAAATTCTACATAAATACATTGCAAGCTGTTTGTGTTGCCCTCTGCGACCGACCGACCATTTTTTATTGTTCTTTCACTTAAATTACAAATTTGAGGAATATCACTTTTGAAATTAACATTTAAAACATAAAATCTATTACACAGACATGTATTTTTGACCAAAATCAGACCATACAATGCATTATATAAAATCATTCTTTATTAAAAACACAATAAAAGAACGTGACAAAAAACACAAGTCATGGCAGGGTGGAAGCAACAGAGACACAATAAAAACAAGATAAAAATTTAAAGAAATCAATTACAAATAAAGACAATTCACCCACTCAGGCGAGTGTCTGGCGTTACAGATAACATAGCTCCTGGTCAATGCCAGCTCACTAATTTGCTTTTTATACTTTTTACATCGCTTATTTACTTAATTTTAAAATATTATTTAGTCTTGTTTCATTATCTTTAGAAAACACTCCCCCCTCCAATTCCAGGCAAAACAATGTGCATTTATAACCTTTATCTCTGATATCGTTGATGATGATGTCATTTATAATTATGTGCCTTGGTTATATTTGGTTCTAGTGACACCGTCAATTCAATTATTGTTAGATTCATCAATTAAGAATATGTCTGGCTTAAGGCTTGTACAAAATATATTAGGGGGAATTGATCCACCAGCTACAGAAAGGCCAGGTAGGTCTGCATATACCATCACTGACTTTCTGAGGTCTTTAATAGTTTTAACAATAAATTTTAATATCGAATCGTGTCGCCATGTATAACAACTTTGGTCTAGGGCAACTTTACAAGCGTTTAGGACATGTAAAAGGGTGTCCTTACTTTTACAAAGCTTACAATTATATGTAGTTAACTTACCCCATTTCTTTTAGTTACATCGTGTTGGCAAGAAATTGATCGAGGCTCACATGGAAAAACTTAGGACTCCCCTGGGCAAGTTATAGATGATAGATTTCCATGTAATATCGTATGCCTCTAGTATAGCAAGTTTCAGAAGTTCACCCTGCTGGACTAGGGGTTAAACGTAATCTGTCCAGAACTTGTCCCTTTTGTCATACAACATGTATTTAACATGTTGCTTGACTGCTGACCAACCAGAGGGGAGTCCCCAGCTCTAGCAATTGTGGACGAGAAAATATTCTTCCATTGCCACGATCCATTTCTTGCCATCTTTCTAACCCATGATTCTTCACGGTCCAATTTACATTTCAGTGCATGAATTACCGACAGTCAGCCTTCATCATACATCTAGGAAAAGCTAGGCAATGCGACTCCAAGTAAATATCAGAAAGGGTAGGTATTCCCAAAACTTTAGGGCTATGGATAAAAGCAGGAGTCGCACCTGTGATGGAAATACCGAGCCATCCTTTGATTGTACTTGTATGGATATGGTCTAATGTCTGAAGCTGTCTGTCGGTCAATTCATGCACTGTAAGTAAATAACTTAAAGATGGGATGCCGCATTGAAGTTTGTATTCTTTACGTATTAGAAATGGATTTTTTTATGTAGTCAAATATAACCTTACTTTTCCTTAATAATAAATCATAGTACTTAGAAACTTTTCAGGACCATCCTTTAAAGTTTTTAGTTCATGTTCGCCGAGTTGAAACTCACATTCCTGGGGTTTAATATAAGACCCATCGATTTCGTTATACCATTAATTTCATTCACAAACTTCTGGTGCGTTTGTTTATTACTTGTCATCAGACAAAAATCAACTGCAAAGGATAATGTAATGAATCGTTGGTCTCCCATATTATAACCATACGACGTTTCATTTTCTTTTAAGAACTGGATTATAGGGTTGAAAACGGTTAAAAAGATGATCGGAGA